TGAGCTTAATGAAACCGACGGTCCCGACCGCGTGAGATACGCAGCCTATTATCTTGATGGTGAGGCCAACGTATGGTGGCAATGGCTCACAAGGATCTATCGCAAGCGACATCAAATTATTACTTGGGATATTTTTTAGAGAGAGTTGCTTACACGGTTTGGTACATCCGATTATCATAATTACATTGAGGCTCTTACGCGCATACGGCAAACAGGCAGCCTACGCGAATACATTAGGGAGTTCGAACGATTAGCTTGTCGTGTGCGCGATTGGCCGGAAGATGCACTAGTTGGCGCGTTTATCGGCGGGTTGAAATTTGACCTGGCCGCTGAAGTTCGGCTCGAGAGGCCCGACACCATGCACGACGCGATGGAAGTGGCACGACAGAGAGAAGATCACCTCGTCGCCACGCGAAGAGGACGGGCAGACGTGCAATTTATGGATACGCGACGCACGGGACCCAACCCAGCCGCGGCCAGCACACGACCGAACGTTAACAATCGGCCAGCGGGGTCGATAGTAAGGCAGCTGTCTCCCGAGGAGGTCAAGCGTCGACGTGAGAAGGGTCTTTGTTTTAAGTGCGAGGAGAAGTTCACTCCGGGCCATCAGTGCAAGCAAGCCTTTGTCATTGAGGTGGCCAACCCGGACGACGAGGAGGTTGAGGTTGAGGAGGAATCGCACCAGGAGGACGAGATTGAGACCTTCAGTGAGGAGCCAGAAATTTCGATGCATGCAATGGCCGGGATCAGAGGGCCGAAAACAATGCGACTACCAGCATGGGTCAAGGACCGAAGAGTAGTGGTGCTCGTAGACAATGGTTCATCGCATAATTTCATCAATACTGACTTGTCGCACAAGTTGGGATTGCCAACCACAAAAATCGAGCCCTTTGAAGTACGAGTAGGAGAGAGGTTGCAATGCTCTGAGACTTTTCGGAGGGTACCAATCAAGTTCCAAGGAGTCACGGTAAAAGCTGATCTGTATGCTTTACCCCTAGTTGGGCCTGACGTAGTACTGGGAGTTCAATGGCTCGAAGGGCTAGGCAAGGTGACGACCGACTATCGAACTGGAGTTATGGAGTTCAACTCCGAAGGTCGTCTGGTCACCCTAAGTGCCGGCACTGATAAAGAAACCAAAGAAGTAGGGCTGAAAAATATTGAAAGAGTTTGGAGGGGTGGAGGCCAAATTTTTGCAGTAATAGTCGAGGATGTGGGAGCACACTCGAACAAAGACGCACAACAACAGGGAGATGTGCGTGAGCTTCTCGAAGAGTTTGAGGGAGTACTGGGCGAGCCCAAAGGACTACCACCGCACCGAGAGTTCGATCATCGCATACCCTTGGTCAATGAACAGCATGCCATTCATGTCCACCCCTATAGGTATGCTCACTTTCAGAAAACCGAGATCGAACGGCAGGTGGCCGAGATGCTTGAATCAGGACTCATACAACATAGCAAGAGTCCGTTTTCTTCCCCAGTCTTGTTAGCCAAAAAGAAAAACGGCACGTGGAGGTTCTGTACTGATTACCGAGCCCTAAACGCTGCAACCATGAAGGACCGGTTTCCTATTCCAAGTGTTGATGACATGCTAGATGAGTTAGCAGGGTCGCGATATTTCTCTAAACTTGATCTACGAGCTGGTTATCATCAGATTCGACTCCACAAAGCCGACATTCCCAAGACGGCCTTTCGCACACACCAGGGGCACTATGAGTATCTGGTTATGCCATTCGGCTTATGCAACGCCCCATCCACTTTCCAGTTCGCCATGAACTCTATCTTCAAAGACTATCCGCGTAAGTTCGTTTTGGTATTCTTTGATGATATCCTAATCTACTCAAAGTCGTGGGGCGAACATCTTGGGCATCTAAGGATTGTTCTCGAAATCTTGGAGGCCAACTCATTCCACATCAAACCGTCCAAATGTTCATTCGGGCAGGAGATGGTTGAATATCTTGGTCATTTCATATCACATGACGGTGTGAAAGTCGATCCGCGAAAGATTGAGGCTATGGTCGAATGGCCTAAACCAACAAGTCTCACGCAGTTAAGAGGATTTTTGGGGCTCACAGGTTACTACCGAAAGTTTGTAAAGGATTATGGAACCATCGCTAAGCCACTGACAGAAATGACTAAGAAGGGTGGGTTCACGTGGACCAAAGCTAGCGAGGAGGTGTTTGGGAAATTAAAAGAAGCTATGACGACAACGCCAGTACTCGCCATGCCCAGATTTGATGTCTTGTTCAAGGTACATATCGATGCGAGTGACATTGGAATTGGAGCTGTGCTAGTGCAAGAGGGACAACCCCTGGCCTATCTCAGCAAGGCACTGGGCACTACTCGACTGGGTCTGTCAGTATACGTGAAAGAGATGCTAGCGGTTGTCGAGGCTGTACGTTGCTGGAGGCCTTATTTATTAGGTCAACGTTTTCAAATAGTTACCGATCAACAACCGCTTAAGCACCTATTGGAGCAAAGGA